GTAGGAGGGTGAGTGGTGGTGGGGGGGTCCAGGGTCCTGGAGGAAAGAGAGGGTGAAGATGAGGAGCAATGGCGTGGCCACCAGAACGGTAGAAGGTGAAGGTGAGTCTGTCTAGCTGGGGAGACTGCCCAGCCCTGAAAAGACAGGGGTCTGGAAGTTGAGGAAAAAGGGAAATTCTGAAGCTCTGGCCTAGGGGGCTGAAGCCCTTGAATGAACCCCAACCTTCCCTTCCATTGTTCCCCCCCTCTTGCCCTTTGAGGGTCCCCTCTCTCTGCAGAGAGCGGCTTGTAAAGTCCCAGGTGACTAGATCTTTGCCACCTGGGCCTAGAAGGCGGCCCATAATTGGTTATCTGCCCTTATGAGTAATGGGTGCCCATCTCCCATGAGCCTCAAACATTTCCAGCCGAGGAGCAGCGGAGCTCACCTTTCTACCCACTTCCTCTCCTGTCCCGGGCCTCCAGCACCCCCCCCCTCATTTATCATGCCACTCAGGGACAAAGGACAGGATGCCAACCAAAGCCAGTTACTTCTTTCCTGAGACAGAGTCCCCAAGTCACAGGGGTGGGGGGCAATTTACAAAATGCAGACCAAGGCCTCACACACACATCCCAGCAAGGTTCTGTCTCTCCTCGTTTTAACTGAAGGAACATTTCCTCTCTCCCCAGCTGGAATCTCAGTCTGTCTGTTTGTCTGTCTCTCTCTGTCTCTGTCTCTATCTCCTCTTAAAAAAACAAAACAAAACAAAACAAAACTGGCTGCTGGTGTGGATTTTAAGATACATCATGTAGAATACAGATTTGGAAAGGCTCCGTGTGAGTAAGTTTCCACCCATCTCTTAAAATTAAAAGTTGCTAAAACTCCGGTTGGTGTGGCAGAGCTGTCCTTGGAAGTGGTGAGAACAGCCCATACTGACACTTCTCCTCTGGTGGGAGGCTGTGTGAGTAGCTGGGGTGAGACGGGCAGCGGGGGGGGGGGGAAGGGGAAGGGGGCACAACTGATTACAGGAATCGTTCCCTAAACAAAGGCACTTCAGAAAAATGGGCTAAGAAGCTGTGGGTTTGGATATCAGACTTTGAGAGACAGTGGCCTCCAAGGGACTGTTAGTGGGGGAGCCTTCCCTCTCTTTAGAGCCCAGGGGCTTGTCCCCTTAGCCCCCTGAAGCCCCATGGACCTGTCATATCGCCTCGCTTTGTCTTCCTTCCCTCCGCTCCCTCCAAGCGAAACAGGAAAGAAGAGATGAGCTGGACGTGGGGTGGGGGGTGGTTAGAACCTGGCCTAGGGAAGGAGTTCTACCCAGAGATCTAGATCAGCACCCTACTTCCTTCCCCCAACCGTACCCCTGAGCTAAAATTGTTACTCCTTTTCGCCCCAGCGGATAGAAACGGAAACACAATCCAGAAATTCCCAGTTAGCAAAGAAGGGGTTGAGGGCCAGAGGGAGATGAAGAAGGTGGGCCACGCACCAGCCCAAAGTATCCCTCCCTGCAGAGGTAGGACATTCCCTCCTGGCCAGGAGGCAGGAGCCAGCACACTGTCCAGTCTCAGAGAGGTCAAGGGGCTTCCGAGGTCATTTTGTGGTTCTAATACTGAGCTAATCGCCTAGAAAACGTGGCCTCTCCATGAACTCTCTCTCCTGCCTCCAAACTGTCAGTGAGCCCCAGGGTAAAAGAGCCAGCACATTCAGGTCTGAGGCAGAGCCCGCGGGCTACCTCATCCTCAGAAGCAGGGCCCCAGACGGGGTGAGGGTTGGGGGGGGTTGGGGGGGGAACCGAGACCCCAAAACAAGAGAGCAAAAGGCAACCAAATCGAACACTGAGCCTCCAGGAAGAAGAGGGGGGCAGAGTTGTAAAGGAAGATTCCGGCATCAAGGAACGTGGCCTGTAAACGGAACAGTTTCCTGCTCCGGAGTTGCAAATATTTGCCCAGAATCCCAAGCTAGACGCGAAAAGAAAGAAAGGAAAAACAACAACAGACAGACAGACAGACAGACATCTACCTATACCTGCCCCAAGCCCAGGGCATTCCATCCAAGAACCGCATTCCATTTTTTCCAGGAGGCAGCAGTGACAACATCTCACCGGTAAACAGACATACGGGACACAAGCTACCAGTGTAGACAAGCGAAGTCACAGAGCACACGGGGCCACATGTGCACGTCGCCTGCGTTTTCCGAAACCCCCCCCCCCAAAAAAAAGCACTTCTGAGCTGCCTCACAAACCACCCTCTCTGGGCCTTTTTCAGGGGATCCTGACACCTCAGTCCCAAGCAGTTCAAACACTCTCCAGGTGTGAGGCTCCTCTCTCTCCCTCTGACCCGAACATCAGTCATCATAAAAGGCAGCAAATCTGACCAAGCATCCACCATAAAAAAAAAAAAAAAAAAAAAAAAACCAGCATAAAAGTATAAAAAGCAAGCGCAGGCGGGGGCTTTGTTACCTTTATGCCTCTCGCCTCCTCTGGCCTGAATTCTGCGGTTCCCATTCATGACGGAGGGCTTCTTCCAAACTGAGAGAAAAAAGTTTTCAACTTTATGGTTCCAAATTTTTTCCCCCTCGGCAGATTCGGGAGAACCAGCTAACACTTTTTTCCCCCAACAGCCGGTCTGCGGAGATTTGCTGTTGAATAATAACAAAGGAGAGAGGATACGTATTTAAAGAAAAGAAGTGATTAATGGTTTTCTGTATAATTCTCACATTTTTCTTAGCTCTTGTCTACACAGAATGGCTGTGAACTTTAAGCTCCATAGAAATCTTTTTTTTATTCTATTCATACCTTCCGAGGAGCAGCTTTGATTTGGTTCTATAGACATTCCGGGGGGTGGGGGGGCATATGCTTTTTAAGAACTATTTTCCCCTCCACTAAGGGCAGCCCCAGCCCCTGGCTGTTAAACATCACTCTGTGGATTCGACCAAAATAAAGCTCGCCTCCTCCAGGTCCCGTCAATTTTTTTTTTTTTTTTTAGAAGACACCCAGCCTCATGTGTCCTGGGCCCTACCCAGTCTCAAACTCCCGGGCCCTGCAAACCGGAGGAATACAAAAGAAATAACAGTAAAGTCGTGCTGGTGGAATCAGCTAGGTTTATTTTCTGGAGGGAGATGGGACTGAAAAACGACTTTTCGTGGCAGATGCTCTCTTGAGCCCCAAGCTTTTTGGAGGCGGGTGGCTGTATCCTGGGCCACCACGAGGGACCCGAGACCCCGAGGCTGGAGCCCTCGGACCTTAGCACATCTCTTGGGTGCTGCCCCAAAGCGGCCCAAGCCCGACAGAGCTTGTGAGGGTCATCGGCACCCCCACCCCCTTCCTCCACTCCATTCTAGGGGGTGACCGGGACCTCAGAGACAGAAAGCTATTTGGTCCCCGGTCGTACTTTCGATACTTTCTATGAGAAAGAAAATGAAAATTAATACAGGAGCAGGGCTTCACAAAAGAGGCCATTCGTCTTCTTGATTATCTATTTGCTTGTCAGAGTTTGAGCTATGGCACCACTAGCTCCTTTGTAATATAAAAATACTCTGAAAACCTGCAAACACCCAGAAACATCTGTGCAAAAAATTAGACTCATTAAAGCTTTAAACACCTCAGAGGAAAACGATACCTTCTTAGGCGGGAGGAAAGAGACCGGCCTCGCAGAAATCCTCCCTCCGAACCTTAATAAGCAAAGAGCCGTCTGTCTAGAAAGAGACAGCTTAACCGCATTTTATTTGCTTATGACAAATAAATCACGATATGAAAGGCTTTGCCATACTCAAGCCTCTCGTGTCCTACAATGAAACATTTTCCCCCCATTAGGGATCGGAGTCAGCCCTCCCCGCACTTTCAATCCATTTTTGGACTGGAGGGAAAAAAATTAAAAGCCCCAAACAAAACACACCCACCCCAAAAGGAAAACAAACCAGCTACCACAATTTGGAGTCCTCTGAGACAGAAATTCCCCTTGGACCCTTTTGAAAAAAAAAAAAAAAATCCTCAACCACATACAATGTGAGGCCCGAATGGACTGAGCTGCTTAAAATACACACTGGGTGGCATTTGCCTGTATCTCTGCATCAAGGTTTCAACAAAAACACGCCGGGCTGGTCACAAGAAACCAAACATTTATTTCTATTGTCACTCTGTACAGGACACAAAAATTTCACGCCAACGAAGGGTTCTAGACTCAGGCAGCCCCAGAACTAGCAAGGGACCTGGTTTGGAATGTCAGAGAGAGAATAGGAGAGAGGACGCACAAGACATAAAATAATTAATAATAATAATAATAATAATAATTAATCATCATCATCATCAATGCAAAACAATGATAAACTATGGGAGAGGTCTCTGCAACATCTTCTCCCAGACCGGGAGGCCCGCCACATTTTCTGTGCTAGTTTCACATTCATGTGCAGCGTGCGCCAAGGCCTCGCTGCACAACTCTATTGGCAGGAGGGCTGTGCCCAGCTCCCAGAACTCAACTGGCCCCTCACTCTGCCAGGATCAGCTTGACCTTCTAGAAGAAGGCCCTCTCGGGTCTCTTTTCTGTTGGCCTCAATTTCCCTGCCTGGTCCCGAGGTGCCAAGGCCACCCCTCACCCCCACGTGTCCCCTTTCTGCTGACCCCCTCACCCCAGTCCCTTGGTGGAAGGGGGTGAGCAGTCAGTGTGCCCACGGAGGTGCAACGAGGGAAGGAGGGTGTGTGTGTGTGTGTGTGTGTTACCGTGGCCAAAACACTGCGCTATCTGGCAGTCACAGGGTGCTTTCGCTGGGTGTCAGGAATGGGGGACAAAGAAAGAAAATCCAGGCTGTCTTCCAGCAGCGGCAGCAGCAGAGGCGGCGGCGGAGCCGGGCCTCATTTGTTAGCCGGGTGTCGAGGTAATGGTCGCCACCGAGGCCCGTCCTCTCCTCGGCAGAGTAAACAAGACAGATGGGCCTGGGCCTGGCGTGATTAAAGATGAAACGTGGATCCATCTTCGCCAAAGCTGAAAACGAGGAGGGCAGCCTCCTCCTATTTCTCTTTCTGTCTTTTTCTTTCTTCCTTCTTCTTCTTTTTCTTCTTCTTCTTCTTCTTTTTTTTTTTTTAAGGAAGAAAGCAAGAAACTTGAACCTTGCTTCTGGGGGGGGGGGGGCCTCGCCCGGATCCCTATTGTCATTTCTATAAATAAAGCTTCCCCTCCCCCTCCTCTGCGTTTATTCGTGTAAATAGATAAAGTGGGGGGAGGGCAGGTAGGTTTTTGCGGACCCAGGCCCCAGGGTCCCCTCCCGCGTCTCCCCCCACCGCCCCACCCCCCCAGCGCTCACAACCCACCCCCGCCCCGAGGTTCGCGGCTCCCGCGCGGGGGGGGGCACTAGAGCGCGGGGGGGCCTCCGTTGGGCCGGCCAGGGGGCCCTCCGGCTGCGCCTGCGGTGCCACCCGAGCGGATCTTGGTGTTGGGCAACTTGTGGTCTTTTTTCCACTTCATGCGGCGGTTCTGGAACCAGATCTTGATCTGGCGCTCGGACAGGCAGAGCGCGTGGGCGATCTCCACCCTCCGGCGCCGCGTCAGGTAGCGGTTGTAGTGAAACTCCTTCTCCAGCTCCAGGACCTGCTGGCGAGTGTAGGCTGTCCGGGAGCGCTTGGGCTCCCCGCCGGCGTAATTGGGGTTTACTGGACACACACAGAGAGAGGGAGAAAGAGAAAGTTTTATTGCCCCGAAAGGGAGGAGGGAGAGAGCCCTCTCTCCCAGCTAACACAGTTCTCCCCCCCTCCCTGCCTCCCTCCCTCTCCCGCCACCTCTCCTTGGGGGGGGGGGAACAAAAAGGGAAGAAAGCGGCCCCCCCCCAAGAGAAAGAGATCTCAAAGTTTTGGAGGGTTGTGTCGTCTCCACATTGTTGTTTGGGTGTCTGGAGAGGGGGGTGGAGGGCAGTGAGGAATCTCCACAAGGTTTTAACCGCTCCTCTCTGCCCCCTTGGCCTGGGGCCCGGGATGGGAGAATGAGGGGTGAAAGAGGGAGGGGGGGCTTCCCTAAACCTTTCTTCTGTTAGTTCCCACCCTCTGCGCTCAGATTCCATGCAGCGCCTGCCCTCAAGTAAAAAACTTTTGCCCAGTCCTCGAGCCAAGGAGCCAGGCTGGAGGAAAGAAAGGAAAAAAATAAATACTGGGAGTTGACTCAACTCTCCGCTCAAATACAGATTCCCTCCTCCTCCTCCACCCCCACCTCCCTCACCCCTCCCCAACTTCCAACTTCACTGAGACTGCATCTCCCTGGCGAAAAAGTCGCTGGTGAGAATGGCAAAGAGGATGGGGAACCGACTTCAAAGGCGCGGGGCCCACCAGGCCATAAAAATTTATGGGGGATGTAATTATGTGGCTCTGAAAACAGGCGACCGTAAATCTCCGGCAATGGCGAGTTTATAGCGGGGACAATTGGCTTCCCCCAGCTCACACGCCCCCCCCCCATGCCTCCGAGGTCCCTTCGGTGTAAAGCACCGGGGGTGGGAGGGGGAAGGGGTGCCCACGCACTCACCCGTGCTCACGTGAACTTTGCGCATCCAGGGGTAGACGACGGGCTCTTTGCACGCGGAGTGGGACGGGCTGGGGTGCAGGGGGTTCTGGGCGCAGGGAGGCGGCGGGGGGCTGCTGCTGACCGCCTCGCAGCGCTGGCCGGGCTCCGGGAGGAGGGCCCCGGAGGGCGGCGGCGCAGGAGCCCGAGGGGACAGCCCGGGCGGCGGCGGGGGCGGCGGCGGCGGCGGCGGCGGGGGCCCGGGGTCCCGGCAGGCCGCGTAGCGCTGCACGGTGCACGCCGCGCGCCGCCCGAAGCCCGCCTCCGGCTGGAAGCTGCTCTCTCGCCTCTGGCCGCCGGCGTAGTACCCCGGCGAGTGCTCGCTGGGTAGGTAATCGCTCTGTGAATATTCCTCGCACGGAGGGAACTTGGGGTCGACATAGTTTGAGTTGATCAAAAAAGAACTCATAGCCATTAATTTCTGGGAATTGCCCACAAAATATACTAAAATTTATTCCGACCCCTGACTCGTTTTCCTGTTTCCGAAAGCCCTCCTACTTACTGTCAAGTGAACAAAGTTAGGGGCCCACGTGATCCCCGGAGCCAATGGCCGCCCCGCCTGCGATTCCCGGATAAGGAAATCTGCTCACCCGGACCCTACTCCAGCCAAAGAGGTTTATTTCCCCTTCTTCTCTTTCCCCCTCCCCACCCACCCAACACCAGGATTTACATAGGGCTCCTGCGGGGCGACCGCCTCCTTGCCTAGCCCTCTCCGGGATCAGGGGGAGAGAGAGAGAGAGAGAGAGAGGGGAGAGAGAGGGGGGAACAGGGCAGGTTGTCGCCGGAGGGCCTGTTGGGGCGCTGGGGAGAGAACAATCCTGGATCCCCTCGGAAGTTGGGGCTCCCGGTGCAGCCCCTCCTGTCCTCCCTCACCTCCGCCCTGCATCCTCTGCCTTCCATAGGCCCCCATCCCCTCCTCGAGAGGGCGAGGAGCCCAGGAGTCTGTGTAGGGAGTTAAGCGGGAGGCAGCCTGGGGGCTCCGCCTGGAGAGGGGAACCCACGTTGGGAGCGAGAGGCGCGGAGCACGGGGCTTTTCTCTGCAGTCGCCCGGGGAGGGGTAGGGAGTGAGAGAGGAGGCGTCGGGAGCAAGCAGGCGGGTGCACGGAGGGACTTGTCAGAGATGAATGGAACCGCGGGCGGATCGATAGGAAATTCATGCACTAATTCGGGGAGACCTCGCCTTCCAAATCGCATTTAGCTGCGCTATTAGTTTGGTTGTGTCAGTCAGTCCTTCCGTTCCCCTCTCCTCTCCACTCCTCCCCTTGCCCGACGCGGCCCAGGCGGGGAGACACGACTAGGTTTCCCACACTGAACGCGAGCGCTGGAGTAAAAATCTTGCAACTTTTGAGAGCACACTGAATAGCAGTTTGCTAATTCCAGAACCACCGGACCAATGCTAAGCACGGTGTGCAGACGTTCTAATTGCGGCTAATGCAGCTGCCTCTGCGGCGAAGAGAAATCTCACATCCTTATGATGCTGGGGGTAGAAGCCCTGGGGGTGACCCACACACAGAAAACACCCCTTCGTAACTATTTCCAGGGCATCTTGCTCTGATCCCAAACGAAAAGGAGACCTCAACATCCGCGTGAAAAGCGATTTTCTGTGCCTTCACCCACTGACGACAATAGTCTTCCCCCCCCTCCCCCGGATTTTCAGTAAAGCCTCCCTGATCCCAGAATAGAGAATTAGTGGGCTTGAGGGAGATGATAAAATTAAAACACCACCACCAACATTAACCTATTAAGAGAAGTGAAAAGGGATCAAGCCTTCAGGGGCAGGCATGGGAGATTTCAGGTAGGTGATTCCTCTGTCTCTAACCAATGAGGGAGGAAAAGAAAAAAGAAGAAAGAAAAAGGAAGGAGTCTTCGTGTGGTCAGTCACCGGAGGGTCCTCAACTGGGAAAAAAAAATTTTTTTTTTCTTCGGGGAAAAAAATGAGCGGAGTGTTTATGTCAACTACATATTCCCCTAGATACGAATTTGTGACCACAAAATTCCTTACACAAATTCGGATCTACAGGGTATATACAGAAGACAGACAGATCTTCTTGGCCCAGAAATTTTCCAGTTCTCCCACTTTCCGCGCCTTCTTCGTTTGGGGTGTGGTTTCAGTGCTTTGATTTTATTTCGTTTTGTTCTACTTTTGAGCTCTGGGGGCAGGAAAAGGCACTGCGGGTCCATTTTGGGGATTACAAGGTTTTCAACTCTCTTTCTCTTCTATCAGAAATTGAAACAGCCGGTCCCGCAAAGGGACGCGAACCTCGCGGCCGCCGCGCAACCCTGGGCGGCGCATGAATTATGAGATGTAAACATTAGCTAAGCACAAAAGGAGGAAGGGTCATTCCGAGGCTGCAGCGTAGTCAGAATCAGGCCCTTCTGGGTGCCCTCGCGCCCCTCCCCTCCCCCCAGGACTCTTATTTTTTTTAAAGAAAAACAAAACCCCAATCGGTTCCTCCGTGCCCCTCGCAGCCTTTAGTTTGCCATCAAACGAATATCTAGATATTTTCCAAGGCGCCTCTCAGCAAAGGGAGGAGGGAGAGGCGGCTGGGTGTGAAGGAGGTGTCATAAAAGTCCTTTTGGAAAAATTCAATGGTAAAAAGAGAGAGAAACAGCTGTAAAGAAAAATGCTGGGAGACCAAACAGATGGGGCCCCGGATATTTAATGACGGGCAATTCCGTTTACAACCTGAGAAAAAGATCAAAGGCGTTTCATTTCCGAATGAAGGGCAATGAGGCACCATAAAAGATGCAGCCAGATGATATTCCGGCCCCTCCCAGCCTCCCGCACCTCCTGGGGCCAGAAAAGGGGGATTATCCCTGAAGTGTGCGGGGAACCCCGTTTCCCCCACCTCTCTAGCCCCAGGGCAGACTCTCCCTGTCTAAATTTGCTCATTCTGCCACCTGCTAGGGTCGCTGGCAGTGGGACCAAAATGGGGATCTGGGAAACCTGGGGGAACCTGGGATTTCCGAATGAACTTCCTGAGGGTCCCAGTAACTGCTGAATATACTAAACTGGGAGACTGGGGACTGGGCTGGAGGGTACTGGGTCCTAGACCGGATGCTGAGAGCCATCATAGGGTTAGGGGAATTGGCACAGAGAAAGCCTCCGCCTTGCCCAGTCTCCCTCCCCATCTCCCTGAGAAATACTTGCATCCCTAGTGAGCAAGTCAGAATCGCATCAATTTCATTAACAAATACAGCGACAATACACAAAAAACAACCCTCTAACCACCACATTCCAGAAGTCTTTGCCCATCTCCAATTCTGTGACCCTTGCAGGTGGGTAGGAGGAGTGCTCCCACTTGCCAGAAACTAGATCCAGGGACCCTCTGATTTTCTATCCTAAATCCAGATTGCCAATTTTGGCCTCCCGGCCCGATTTCTAACACCAACACTCTCCCAGCCAGGCTGACTTGCATATATTTGAAAAATATCTCACACACACACACAGAGACACACACACACACCCCCACACTTATATTTTAATCACCTTTTCCAAGACAGCGTCCAATAGACCCCCCACATGGGCACCTAGGGAGACTACTAGAGACTGGCCCTGGGCCCACAGACTCCAAATGCATGGGTAGGTCCCCTACCAGCCCCCCAGGCTCAAGCAGGGATCTTTCCAAGTCGTATCAAAGGCCAGTTAGGGGTTCCACGACCCATTCCAACTGGCCAGGCCCCTCCCCCACCCCATACCTCCTGTCCTTCTCAACTCGCTCGCTCCCTGAAACCCGTCCAACTCAGTCGGCTTTTTCGGAATTTGGGGAGGGCCGCTAGGCTGGCCACCGGGCCTCTCTGCTGCTCTACACTTCACAAAGGATGCAGGCCAGGTGCACGGAGCACCCCAAGAGAGAGGTATGGGAGGCAGAGCCACTGCGGGACCGAGTATGGCTGATCCTAGGGACAGAGCGCAGAGATTTTCTCTTCTGCGCGCTGGGAGCCGCCACCTGCCCATCCCACGGAGGCGCCGCACCCCCCCACCCCAGCCGCGATGGGTGGAGGACAAGGTTTATCAGCCACTCCCTGGACGGGTTTCACCCAAACCGGAGGCTGCGTCTCCCCTCCACCCTCAAAAGAATGCTAACAGGAGTACCCGCAATAAAAATAAGAAAAAGCAAGGGCTTTGCGCGCGCGTCCGAGCCACCTCGCCTGTACTCCCCGGTCGTTCGCTGGCTCGCCGGCCGCCTTCCCCACCCTCCTGGCAGCCACAGGTTGCCAGCGTGACCTCTCACTGCTCAGCCCCCGTCGCTGTCCCGGGCGGGCGTGCCCAGCCCGCACGGAATCGGCTACCTTTTGTCGCACGGAGCGAGGGAGGGAAACCAAAGCGAAGGGCCGAGGAGGCGAGCCCCCAGCCGGCCCCGCGCACCGGAGGCGGCCCGGAGGACTGGAAGGCGCCGAGCGGGAGCGGGCAAGAGTACTCACCGGGCCCTCCCGGCCGCAGGCCGACCCGCCCTCGGGCCCGATCGGCCACAGAGGAGCTCGCTCTTGTCCACTATTGTGTGTCCGGAAAACCGAACCGCGGCTGCGGGCACAGCAGCTCCCGGGCCTCCTTGGAGGCCGGAACAAGACTTTTTTTTTTTTTTTTAAATGTGTTTTTGTTTTTGAAGCGCAAGTTTTCGTATTAATCTCATACTTTGGCAGTCTTTGTTAAACAGCGAGGCGCGTCACGAGGCTCTCGAACATTTTAATAATTTTTAGACGCCGTGACCTACGGTTCACCCCTCTCCGGGCCTCCCCCACGAGCAGGCAGTTACTATAATACGCTGGCGCAGTTCGCTCGGTCATATTGAATTTTGCGCAGGTCATTACTTGGGAGAAAAATGACGGAGCAGGAATTTGATTCAGCTCATCCTCTCCAGCTCTACTTTTTTTTTTTTTACCAGAACCTTCTCTCCCCTTCACCCAATCCCCACCCCCCAAAAAGTCCCATTCCGAGAGGACTCAGCCTGCCTCGCCTTCACCTTGATATTCCATCACTCCTATTATTTTTGTCAGTTCTGGTTCCCAGGGCAAAGTGGGAGAGTGTGGGATGATTCCACAAGGCTTTCCTTCGGGGCACCTGGAGTAGAAATGTGGCCTTCGGAATCTGGGTCCCTGAGAGCAGGCCCCAGCCAGAGCCCCCTTCCCTCCTGCCTTCCCTATTAAATGGCTGTATCGTAGGGCCTGTATGACGACCCCGGTGCAGACTCCATCTACTTTATTCCATCCCCCAGTGCCAGAGATACCCCCCTTTCTGCCCAAACTTTGGAGGCTCCAAGGCCCCGAGAATGACTCCTCTACCTCCTGGGGCTGAGATTTGATCCAGAGGCCAGCACATTTGGGGAAGACAGAGAACCCTGAGAGAGAAGCTGGACCGTGCAGGTCAAAGCTGGGGACTTGGCTTCCAGAGGCTTTTATTTCCTTTAAAAACAAAACAATACCCCCCTTTTTATTTAAAACCACTTCTCATCTGTACAGTAACTCTCTTACCTACACCCCATCACCACCGCAGGGAGGTACCGGAGCAAAGCAAGGAGGCATTAAAAATTGTCAGA